GCGATGCTTAAAAAGGCAAGTCTGGAGGAATCGGTTGCGATAGTTGAAATATCACCGGCTACTCTACGTCGTCAGTTAGTTCGTAAACGCCTGTATGACCGTCTATGTGAAACAACAAATTGCGTAATCTGCCCTTACGACAGGGACGGTGATTGCATGAGTTCAGGTACGATATATAAAGCCCACGATCGACTTTCTATTAGCCTCGGCATTGATCAAGTAATTCTTTGTATAATTGTTGAGCAAACGCGAGGTGTAATTTTATTCTTTATTCACGAATAAGCTGACGTTTCGGCGGATTTCGCCTTCCTCAGAGCCAGGAAAGGTCAAGCTGACAGCAACCTATTCGGCCTAACACCTCCATAACCAAACAAAGAAAACGCTAAACCAAGATTTCAATCACGTTGAACACAAAGTCTTTGCCACTCACCGCTTTCTATGAGTCTTCCACTGAGTATGTCGCGTGAAGACCAGCCGCACAGAACTCACATGAAAGTGTAACGTGCCCCTCCCATCAGAACAACAGGCTTATATACTGCCCAATATCACGCGTGATAATGAGGCATTCTTCCCTGCGGTTCATTTTCGTATTTCTAGAATTAATCCAGAACGCCTCGAGAGTTTTGCGCGCTTGTGTTCTCGATCCCGTGCGAAGATCACGACGCGTACTTCAAAGTCCTTCCCGTTATGTCTCTGGGACCTATGCGTGCCTAGTGGGGAATTTGGTTTAAGTTTACCGGCTAGGTGTTTTTTTAAGCGGCCACAGAGTGGTCTACTCGTTTCGTCAATGTATCCGTCTCCGTACGCCTTACAGGAGATCAGATTAACTGTACCCGAGCTCATGCAATGACCGTCTCTACCATCAGGGCAAATTATGCAATTTTGCGTTACAAATAGACTGTCGTATAGGCGGTTACGAACTAACTCGCACCTAAGATTACTCGGTGGCATTTCAACTACGTTTATCGAATTCTCTAGACACGCCCTTCTTAAGCAGCATTTTATAGCTGCACTTACATATCATTAGAGATGAAGGGTAGGATAAACGGGACCTTTCTATCGCTATAGTTGTCCTTCGGGGGCCTAGGATTTCCACTACACCTATCCTCTGCTGCAGTTTCGTAGCCATTAGAAATGGCTATTTTCCGCGCCAAGTTCCGGGACTCCTTTCCCTGCTCTCTTCCCGTGTACACGTTGGTATCTGCTCGAGACATGTTTCTTACGGGCGCCCACTTCGTGTGAGAGAGGTGAGAAGAGAGGTAATGAACCAAGATGTTTCTACTACTTGGCTTTCGGTACCATTTTGTAATGCAGCCATTTTCTGACAGGTGAATTTGGACGTTCAGGAATGGAAGCCATTTTTCTTTCGCTTTCTCTCGGGTGAACTTGATATACTCTGACTGTGCATTCAACAACCCGAAACATTTATCCATTTCCTCTTGTGTTGTGTTGTTGTTGAAGAGTTGGGCCTAATAAATTGTATATCAGGATGCCCTTCCTGGCTCTGAAGAAGGCGATACTGCCAAAACGACAGCTACTGTTGCATTGTATTGTGTTTTTCTATGGAAGTAAATGTATGCTACATAACAACCTGGCGATTGCTGAACAGGAGGACGACGCATTCACATTCGAATGCCGAGGTTAATAGAAAGTCGATCCTGGGAAGAACCTCGTGTTTTACTCATCAAGGAAACAGTGTATTATTGAAATAAAAATATGTTGCATAATTAAGAAGTGACCTTGTAATCTACCAATGGCTTCAGTTAACTAAAAAAGTAGGTGACTGTTTAGGACTAGCATCGATTGCTACGATATTGATTAGCTTGGGCAGGATTTTTTTTACTAGCCACGGATGTCGAATGCAAGGGACATCTCTCAAGGATCAATCAACGCCGAGAGCTTTATCCTTCTTTATCCTTTATGTCCTATCTAACTTTTTAAGGATTTGTCTTTGTTCTCTTCATATGCAAGGCTACTGCTAATTGAATCTTCATAGTGTGTGATTTTTCTAATCGATTAGTGGGCAAATAGTGTAGTAGCAATCCCGAACCCACTTGCTACGAACCATGTACTCTTTGCTAAGCGAGGGCTTGTTGTATTCTTCTGCACATCTTCATACTCTCCATTGCATTCATAAAAATTAGGCACCCATTAGAGATCTATTTACATCAGATCAAAGCAGGTCATTTGAAGTTCTGTAGCATTCTAGAATTGTCATACCGTAGTCCCTAGCAGCAATGACATCGCCGAAATGCACTAATTTCCCAGATACTCATTAGAGGTTAATTTATGTTTGCTTATTCGGGTTCTCTTTCCTATGCTTTTCACCAATGAATCGGATCTGAACATCACTTATGGAAAATACTTTGGAAAAGCGCCAAGGAATGCGTGGTCAAGAGAAATCGGACCGAAGTGCAAGAAGTTCTTTCTCAGCATAGCGAATATGCTCAGCTGTATACCAATATAACCACTTTGTTAGACCATTTCATAGTCAAAGCTAAGATTTCATATATAATGCTGAGATATTTGGAAAACTTCGGATCGCAGGTGTATGCGGTGGGGAACGAACGCGCGCTATTGTCCTTTCCGGGGAGTAGCGCACTTCACCACCACACCATCCGGGTCCTTCGTTTTGCCTGTCTCTCAGCTACTTCTGTCGATCTTTTGCCATCATCAATCACCCGTCAACGGGATTGATCTGGGGAACCCAAATCGGCATTGAACCCAGTTAAGCTGAGGCTTAGTTATAATCACAATTTTATAACTCGACTTTTTTACCTCTATTAAAATCTTTACATGAACAGGTTGTTTTGTTGTCGGTGTTTAGCAAGCTGAATGTTGCGTTAAGGGTGTCTCGAAAACAACAGTGAAAGTCGCGTGCCAGTTCAAATAAGCAGAAAACCACTGCTCACGATTATTCGTATGCACTTGCTTGGCCTAAGCTGATCTAATGGAAGTTGTCCTAAACTGTGAAGCTGTGTCTCGAGATGTTTTGTTTTTTCAGGTAACCTTACCAAGGCGTACAAATCTGAAACGATTCGGAAGAATTTCACCTGAGTCGATGGACTCGCTAGCTGGTTGGTAGACATGAATAATGGACATATTTTAGAATTTCTATCCTTTCCTGAACCTTACTATTACAGTAAGCTCTTTACACTGGTTACGCTGATCTCTTCCATTCAATCGCTATCGAAATTAAATGGATTCAAAGCACAAGAATCTAGTCCGAACTACCTAATCGTTGAGCATTTGTGTTTTCCATCTCGGCGTCCCAAGTTTCCCATAAAGATAACACGTTCACCTCAAATAGGTATCGTCGCCGTTCTGTTGACATTTCAATAAACAAATGCGTCCAATGGCCATTCTTCGTCAAAGACTCGTCAATGAGTCATCTTTTGGATCTGGGATGGCTTCTACCTCTTTGTTTCATGGTTTCCTAGTATTCGACGCTCATTTGCTTGCCATCTAAACTAATCTTTTTCATGCCGCTTTCACTATCAGATAGTTTACGATGATAAGCAATGACTGTAACCGACACGATTAACATTCCGCTTATTCTGCGATGTGCTCGATAAACCCACACCAAGTTCGGTTTCGGCTCTATTCGTTTCACAATATTATAGACAACAGGCAGTAAACAGAAAGTTAGACGTCGTGATTTAAACATATGTCAGTTCATAATGAATTCCAATTACTGAAACAAAAAATGAGTGGAATTTACAGGTCACTGCAAAAAACTTTTCTTGTCCTAGTAAAGTGGGATTCTGATTTTCTGGAATCCGCTAGACATGAATTCTTTGCCAAGACTCATAACTTAAACTGCAAAGTAACTGAACAAGCCGGATTTCTAGGGGACAGGATGGAGCTCTACAATATGTCGTTTACGTTTGTGACTTCTTCGCTTCCTTCTGATACCAACAATCCTGAAAACCTTCGTCAAAAATTCAAAATCCAAACTCCAAAGCATTTTTCATATCCGCATGTTCCATACGATAACCGCGATTTATCTTACTTGGATACTTGGATGACCCGTCTTCACTGGTTGTGCGCACCCCAGCATAATTTCCCTTTCTACGGAGTTTTGCTGGCTTAGCCATCGTGGTTTCCTGAAGCCCCAAGGTCAGCTTAGCCAAAGTTTGCCACAAATCGTCACCACCACATGCAGTCACCGCCCTTGTGGATCAGAGGGAGATTTGCCAACATGCGACTTTGATACCAGGAGGGTAGTGGATCCTGGTACTGGTTTACTTTTCGCTGGGCTTCCTTAGGGAAACGCCGGACTTGTTCTCAGCTTTGGAGACCCTGCCGGGGAATGAATCACCCCGCTCTACATTCACAGCAGTTGGATAGTGGTATCCCTGAGCAGTTGGTTGTTGATATGCTCGATCATAATGTTTATCGCGCATCATCCGTCAAAACACGTCTGCGAGCGCTCCCGTTAGACTTTTCACATTCTACACCTTATTTCCACACACTGCATTTCCAGTAATGGTTCAGAAAAGATCAAAGTATTATTCAAACTAACGATATGAAATATGCTAAATGAGGTGACCAAAGGACTTCGCAATTAATATTTCTCTCAAGTATTATGCGACTACAAATAAAGGCACTGTATCCCTCCAAAAGAGCTACCGATGAGCAGCTGAATATGTCCTAAAGACGATTGTTCACCAACATATACTTTGCAACTTTACTTACGAATATGGCGCAGAGTCGAAGACAATATGATTACTAGAACTAAGGTCATTCATTATATGACCTTACTTGACAGATATTAACGTAAAAATGAGCAGCATATACAAATACCGGAAAAAATGATTGCAATTACTCCAGAATAAGCTGAATTGGTCACAAACGAGTAGGAAATGAAGATCGAACCCTATGTCAATACTTCAACGACGTGATTCAAAAACTCGGAGAATAACAAATGAAACTGGCAGTTGGTATGGAACATTGATTTCGTGCTGGTAACGTCTCTTGACCTCTATACGGCAATCTGCTCATGGAGCACAAATATCCGACATTTCTGGCACAAATGGAGCTAATTTCTTAAGCACCTATAAAATAATAGTAGCAATGGTTAGCACGATGAAATTTTTTAAAACATAACGCAGATATAGTATTACCATTAAAGCCCAATTCACAACACTGTTGCGAACCAGCCGTCGTTAATGAATCGAAAAGGCTATGAAATTCACAATAAAGAGTTCTTAAAATGCCAACCTTATCAACATCAGATCTAACTTCCATGTAAAAATTCTTAATTTGATCAGGCGTTTTTGTACCAACAACTTCAGAAACTGCATCAAAATCTTCTTCATATCGTAATAGACCTGAAAGCTGACAACTTTACCTGTACGTACGTAGCATAAAATCACAGACGATTTACATTTATCACAATAACACCATAAAGGAAACAAAATGGCTAGGACCTTAGGGCTTTCTATTGCGTCTAAGTCTGAAAAGACAAGAATGACCAACCGTGCTAACAGTGCACGCACACTAGCATCTGGTTAGTTCATTGCGAACCCGATGATAGAAAATGAAAAAAGAGGACAAAGGATAGGAAAACGAAGTACGAAGTCATCGAACTGGCCAACATTACAATATAGTATTCAAGACGTCTGTGATCTTAGAAAAGAAATATTCATTGGTGAAAACAGAGAAGTTGAACTGTTGCTGTTTAGCTATGAACATCGAACCATCTTAACATCTAGCGATGTGAATCGAACATTAACCGTTAAAAGAATTCGCACTAGTTGCTGCCTCGACAATGCTCGTCATCTTTCCCCGAACATCAAGATGTTTGAAGATAAAGTCGCCTCATTCTCTATGAATTTCCGCAGAAATCTTTTATAAGCTCAACGTTGGCGATTTCAATGGCAAGTTGGCGCCTGAAGAACATCATACCACGTCCCTTGGATTACATCACGTTGACTAGGAATACCATAGTAACTCATAAACCTAGAGGGCTTGCTCTAAAGGTTAGAAGCAGCTCCCATGAGTCTTGTATAAAACAATACCTTCACAATATTGCTAGAATGTCGAAAGTTTCAAAATCACCAAAAGACCTCGTCTCCGGATATCGAGTTGGTGCGCCAACATAGCATAAGTTACAAGTAGTCACAATGATCAAAAAGCAGCACTGAACGAAACTAGAGTGGTTGGTAACAGCACCAGCAACAAACGCCTAGACTTCGACAACTGCAATATTGAGATGATCGCTATCCAGCGTCCGGAAAAACATTTCGAAAGCTACGTCCACCTGCCTCTATATCAAACCAAGGATGATGAGTAAAACTGAAAGTCGATAACTGGCACCTACACCACTTTGGCTTAATATATGGTTCTTATAACTTCAAGCACTAGCCGAGCTGGACGAATACTGGCTGGTTATGACAGTGCGTATTCAAAAAATCGTCCTGGGTTAAACCTGAGAAAAATATATCTGTATGGAACTGTTCCACCTATGTGTACCTGGACTGACAAGTCAACATGATGAGCAACTTAACTCCAGTGTTAGAAGTGAAAAAGCGCTCCGCTCGGAATGTCTACAACAGCATCGATAAACGTATCGAACACAAAAGCAACAGTACTTCGAGCACAACTCTTAACTCTCCTACCTTACAGTTCCTTCTGCCTCAGCACACACATCATAAACTTTGACGATTAATCAGGACGAAAAAAGATTCGGCGTGAAAGGAAGTGCAATGGACAGCGAAATGCTACGAGTATCTAGCATAGTGCAAGTGAGAGAGAGAAAGACAGACAGATAGACAGGGAGAGAGAGGGAGAGAGAGGGAGGGAGGATTTGAAGTTCTGATCTACATCGGCGTTAAAATACCGAAGGCGCTGCCGTTTTACCAAACTACCAAGAATCAGGTAGGCCAACAAGAAAGGATGCGTCTTATCTCCACAAGATGCTAAGTTGCTAAGTGTCTAGCAAGAATATCTACTATCCAACGGTCGGATATTTTCATGAAGATCTTTGAAGAAAAATACGATGATTTTCGTGATCAGGGGGCTAACTATATTTAAAGCAGAACGAAGAAATGCATAATTCACTGAGGTCATTTAAGTCGACGATTAACGGAACAAGTAATAACAACAAAAATGTGTTTCTAGGAAATTCGGATAGGAGCTTTCAAAAGATTCAAACCAGATAATATGAAAACGTAAATATATTCTGATAATAGTGGCCATGCCGAAAATAAACCTACAACGGAATGCAACCATTCGCTCCTCTTCACTCCACGACTCGCACCTTTTTATTTCGTCGAGTTTCATTGAAAATCCCTCCTCGTCTTTCTTGTCACTGATCGTGAGATACCTGAAATACACTGCTGTATTAACCAAAAAAGAGTGAATATATACAACATTTAAAAAGAGTTTCCTCGCCTAAAATTGAAATTTAACGTCGAAGATTCATCCGAAAATCTAGAACTGAATGTTAACTATAACGCGACGTAAACGAAAAGTAGAATGGTCGAATTGGTGAAAATAAAGAGAAACAAGACCAAATTTAAGCAAGACGACCTACCTATAAGACTCCAATCCATCTGTGACACCTTCGGACCGTTGTGATTTAATGGATTGTTCAAGACGAATAGCACGAGCACGAACTTTAGCTAACTCACACATCACTGCTCTAAAGGAAACAGAATACCAATGAAATCAAAAGCACTTTGAAAAATAAAAACGCCGAAATGAATAGATGTTCCGAATAGGAAGAAGCTCACTTTATCTCCTCATGACATTTCGTTTTTGGCATTTCAACAATTACCATTCCATCAATAACATTCTCGTTATCCGGCACGAATTCGTGATCAACATAGCTGGACATTTCAACAAAACTATGCGCTATGTCTAGCATGTCTGGAAATGAAAATAACTTGCTAAATGCTCTAGATTAATCTAAGCGAATATCACCATACCACTAGGACACTTTCGCCTCCTCTGACGAATTTCTTTTACCGTGGACAAAAAATTGCATGGACGATGTTTCCCCAAAAACCTGCGAAGATAAATGCATGATATGGAAAAAAGCAATGTTTCACTACTTACCTGAAGTACGTCCAACACACAAAACATAGTTGCATATTGTCGAGGACATGCACTTCTCGACATTCTTCGCCACAATTACCGCACACATTTGTCTCATTGTGTGGATCGTCAGCACTAAATAACAGAATGTGATTTTATAAGGTGTAATTTGTAAAGAGAAGTTGTCTAATCTAATCCCCATCCAAAGATCAAACAGCCAAGATGAACTCCTATTTTCATTTAACTTTATCTCGTTATTCAGCCCTTTATATCCTTTCTCTTCCAACAGCTACTTATCTTAATACTTCCTCATTAAAATTTCAGATCTAAAAAATCTATCATTCTCATTTGTGGAGAGATAGCACAGTAGTATTGATGTTATTCATCACTAGCACGAGAATGGTTCGATAACGCACAGGGCTCACCGACCCTCGTATTCCTCTGAGGTCGAGAAATTGGTACCAAACATGTCTGGAAACAGTTTACTTCCTACAATCCAGGTAGCCACGCCCTAGGTCTGGTATAGGAGGATTCCAGAGAGAGTCGGTTAAACCAGCGTTCAACGACATTCTATGAAGAGGCAGAAATCTCCAAGCAGCAGTGGAAACCACACACGAACCCAAGGACCTTAACAGACAACGGATGCAAGGAAACGAAAAACTGATTCCAAGAAGTGATGGTATCTGCACAACATATGTGACTAAGAGTTATGTAAAATAATAAAACATAAATGTANATGTAGTGCTCTTGGTTTTTTAACTGACCCACTAAATCAAGCATCTTTGCATCTCGCTTACACTGAGAGCATAACAATAATTAAAAAAAAAAACAATTGCACAGCGAGTATTCAGCCGACTACGGCTTTCAAGCCACTATAGTAGTGAACTGAAAATATTTCATTACGCAAGAAACGCATTTCATCTATTCTGTTAAAGCCAATCTTATGTAGAATTTTGACACATCTAACAGTAGAAATAGGAAAATCCTCACCAATCGTCTTCTTCGGAATCTTCGGCCATTCTAGTGTCGATTAAACTCTTATAGTCGGTGTCTTTCTTAGTATTGTAGTAGAACTGGATAATTGAAGACATAGATCGATATGGCATCTTAGAAAAAACCAGTTTAGTACACCGGACCTTCTTTTAGATAAGCGAAGAAGTGGAGAACTACCATTTGGCGAATTTTGTCGAATCTTTTTCCAAACATGAGCAATGTTTGCTTAAACAGAGCGCGATCGTCTTCACCCCATTCTTCATTGATGGGTCGACGTCTCCTCACTTTCTCTTGAGCAACGTGAAAGTCAAAGTTCGATTTTTGAAGAAGATAAAGTGCCTGTAATAAGGTGAAACTAATTTCCGCGCTTATCAACTATCACTTATACTACGCAATAGCTTACGTTTTGCTGAACCCAATGAAGAAACAACGACAGCAAGAAAAACTTTGTCATGACTTAGCTTAACCTGTACGTATAATAATGTAGTTGTCTATTCAAAAGTTTTAAAACCCAAACGGCTTCAGTCATATAACAGATGGCACGCCCATAGCTTCTATCATTAGTTTTTCAAATGAAGACTGTTAATACTTAGCTAAATTAAATTCAATGTTGTTCATCAACCTCCTAGCGGTTTACAACCTCATCGTGACTACTTGAAGCTGTTCCTCGGTGTCGGGCAGCGGTGTACAGTAGAAGAGTTCATTACTTCGGCAGGACCTCCCAATCTGAGTCCGACGCTTCCATCCAAAGACCAAAATTATGGAAANGAGCAATCTAAGCATCCAAGTAACCAAGTTGTCCACCAAAATGAGATAGAAGGAAGAACTATGTGATCGACTTCTCACCAGCTCACATCCTCCTATTTAAATGTTGTTTTTATTGCTTTAATATCTTATTTTCTGTTGTTTTCTACCAAAGTGTTGTAGTATTACTATCAAAGTATTATGCTGGAGCACTAAAATTAAGCTAAGAGTATTCTGCCAAAGTTGGGAATAACTACAAACAAGTGACTATACAACAACGTAAAAGAAAAGAGATGAACAGCATATGAACAAAAACCTGGTCCTGTGCAAGTTTATACTTCTCAGCGGCATATTCACAGTACTCATTAAGACTTATTTCATCAATATCAGCTGGTGGACACCACAACACCTGAAATGCGTTCTATCCAGTGAAGAAGAAACACACCAAAGGAAACATATTTTAACGTATAATTCGCAAAACGTAGTTTAGATGGCTCATCTTACAAAGAACCCGAGCAGGCTGCAGCGCAAAACCCCTCCAACTGCAATTTATGCTAGGGTTTTCTGTGCAGTCAGGAACGGTGCGTCAAGCCGTTCCCAATATGTCCCCACATTCTACTGACTGTGTGGATTAAAAGATGATTTTCTACATAGCGAGTAGCCTTTCGTAAAGAAACATGGAAGACTTCCTGTACTTGGTTGTCTCTGTCAGGAGATACAACTTTTGCTAAACAACGTAGTCGATTTCAAGGAAATCCCCAATGGAAGTACGGTCTACACCAATACTGATACTTGATACTTGAACGGCCCGCCCTCACTAGTTGGGCGGACCATAGCATAATTACCATTTTTCGGAGATTTTCTGGTCAAGTTATTGTGATTCTCTGGAATCCCAGGGACAGCCACGCCCAAGTCTGTCCCAGGTCGTCATCATGACAGGCAGTCTCAGCCCTTGCGGATCAGAGGGAGAGTTGCCATCATGCGATTTTGATACCAGGACGGTAGTGGATTCTGGTACTAGTTTACTCTTAGCTAGGCTTCCTGATGGAAACTCTGGACTTCTTCTCAGCTTGGGAGACCCTGCCGGGTGGACGACTACCCCGCTGTACATCGCAGTTCGACACCCAGGAATTCCTCCCAGCCACGATGAGGTGGTAAACCGTTGGCAGGTCTACATCAACACTATGTTCAAAGCGGTCTACCTTTTTTTATAGAAAAATTCCAATCGAATGAAAACACAAATTAGGAGAAGAAAGCCCACATGCTCTCTTTCTCCATCCATCAACGTGTCATCTTGTTCTTTCTGAGGTTCATCCACACGTGCTTGGAAATCATCACCAACTTGGATTTTTCGGTCGGCACTGCTTAGCATGGCTGAAGAATTACAGTAATGTAAGTGGACACAATAGTCCTCGCATTCTAAAAAAAAGGAAAGAAAAAACAGAAAATGGACCCGCTCCTGCTCTGGCGTAGCTATACAAAAGTACTTTTCAATAAAAGGTGTACTGCTTAGTATCATCTAAGAGAGTTCTATTTTTGGAGGAGATGGGTTTGAAGTAACAAACTATATTCTTTTATAGATCTTACAACCTTCTATTTATAATGGACACACAAATGAAAATTCACCACGCAAGGACTTCATGAACTTCATTCACCTTTGTGATCAACTTCTACGTCCTCATCCTTCTCTTCATCTTCATTATCATCGTCGGAGTCATTGCGTTTAGTCCTGGTACGTTTACAGCGTTTCGTTGCCTTCTAAATATACGCTCACGAAAGTAACGAAACGTCAACAACAACTATGAATACCGTACCTTTGAACTGATATCCTCGTTCTGTCTTGACTTTTTCTCATAACCAGCATTCTGCGCATGGCTTGAATTTCCTTCCTTCAGAATCAAAGTGGAACGGAATGGACTCTGATGATGTTAAAGCTATACAATTTCGCAAAGTCTGTAGTATACATTTGATAATAACCAAAACACACGAATCTAGACTTCCCATAAACGAAGACTACTTATAGACGTCTTTAAAAAAACGTAAAAACTCCCCCAATTTTACCCTACGACGTTTACAGGCTTAAATGAGTTGTCATGTGACAGATGGGCGACGCAACATGGACATTAGGCAATTCCAAGATAAAAATGAATGGTTCCAAATCGTTTCTGCTTCTTAATAAATTATATCCTCCTGTACATTTATGATGTACACACATCCACGGACACGTGGGTGCCCGGGTTTGCAGATATGCATTTTCTGTTATTGACCATTTAACCAAGTTTGTTGTCGAGGAGTCCAAAGTGCGTGGGAGTTCGGATAGGGTATGCTCCAGTAAGTGAGTTTACGCTCATTCCAGAAAAGTACGAAGAGCCAAGAGTTAACCATTGATATACCCAGTCGTGTCCAAAGTAGTGAAATTAAGTGAGCTGCTACCAAATATCCTCCCAGCGGTTTACCGCCTCACCCTGGATAGGAGGTGTTCCTGGGTGTCGGACTGCGACGTACAGCGGGGCGATTCCTCCACCGGGCAGTGTCTCCCAAGCTGAGGAGTCCGGCGTTTCCATCAGGAAGCCTAGCTAAGAGTAAGCCAATACCAGGATCCACCACCGTCCCGGTATAAAAGTCGCATGGTGGCAAATCTCCTTCTGACCCACAAGGGCTGCGACTGCCTGTGGTGGTGAAGACCCGAGGCAGACTTTGGCCAGGCTGACCTCAGAATTCCAGGGAACGACAATGACCTAACCAGCAAATCTCCGCAAAATAGAGGTTATGCCGGGGTCCGCACAACCAGTGAGGACGGACCATTCAAGTATCAAGCATCAAGTAAGTATACCAAATATTCCCATTGCAGCAACTAATGAACACATTATCCAGGAATTCCCTAGAACTGGAAAGGCACATGCGTCTTTTACGGTAATTCGAGGGCAAAACGAAGATTTCTCTTCATGTTTCATATTTAGAGCAGAATCGATAAAAAGGTTTTAAAGAGTCGAAAGAGTTTAAAGAGTTAAAGAAAAGACAGAAAGAGAAAGAAGTTGAAATCGTGAAAACTTTGTAATATTGCAAGCTCACAGAACACCGATCTGTTGACGTACAGTATCAGAATGTGTATCCGAATGTGCATCGGACAGGGCGTCGACTTCCATCTCCTCCAGCAAATTCGGTTCGCCGACTTCGTTCTTAACAAATGCATGAACTCCATCTTTAGACGTACACCTTCCCAAACTTGCATGGGCCATTGCAATCGATCTCGAGCAAAACCTTTAGAAGCGAAACTTTTACAGCACTAATTGAAGCGCCTCTCACTTAGAGCAAGAACGAACTGAGACATGGTAAAATGTTAACCGGTAAAGTAACAAAAAAAAATAAATCGACAACAAAACGCATAAAATGTCTGTTTATCATTGAACTTCACATTATGCTTCGATTTATCAATACCGCAGTTTCATTGTTATGAATGGTACAACCAAGGAAATCAGGATGATAGGAACAGTTCGAGACAAGTAGTAAGTAGAACTTAGGTATTTACTTAAACACTGGGATTGCCCGTGTTCACTGGTTCTGCGGACTCCAGCATGATTCCCATTCTAGGGAGATTTGTTGGTTTAGCTACTGTGGTTCCCTGGTGTCCCGAGGTCGGCCCAGCCAAAGTCTCCCCCAGGCTATCACCACCACAGGCGGCCGTCGCTTTTGTGGATCAGATAGAGATTTGCCACCATGAAACTTTTATACTGGGACGGTGGTGGATCCTGCTATTGGTTTACTATCAGCTGGACTTGATGAAAACGGCGGATATCCTCTCAGCTTGGGAAACCCCGCCAAGGAGACGAATCCCCTCACTGTAAATTGCAGCCCGATACACAGGAACACCTCCTAGCCCCGATGAGGCGGTGAACCGTTGGAAGGACTGCCTAATATTTATACTAGAAAGTTCTAAACTATGCATTCCGATGTAAGACAGAATACAAAGTGAATTCAACAGTAACGAAGTAGTGATATTAATAGAAGACAAAAGCAGTTCCAACCTTAGTTTTCTATTCCCGGGCTACTACTAGCGATAGCCTCCCAACGGTTTACTCGTTAATCATGAATGGGAGGTGTTCCTGGGTGCCGGACTGCGATGTACAGCGAGGGATATATCCCCTGGCAGGGTCTCTCAAGCTGAGTCCGGCTTTTCCATCAGTAAGCCTAGCTAAGAGTAAACCAATACCAGGATCCACCACCGTCCTAGTATCAAAGTCGCATGGTGGCAAATCTCCCTTTGATCCACAAGGGCTGCGATTGCCTGTGGTGGTGAAGATCTCTGGAGCACACTTTGGCCAGGCTGACGCTGGGATTCCAGGAAACCACAATGGCCTAACAAGCAAATCTCCGAAAATTGGAGATTATGCTGGGGACCGCACAACCAGTTAGGACCGGCCATTCAAGTACCAAGTATCAAGTACTAGTGATAGAGACTACACTACATCTTGCTAAGATTAGCACACAAAGACATATTGGATGCAATGCACACTCAAATTCACAATCAATGTCTAAACAAAAGTTGCAGGTATCCTATGACCTATGTCATAGCTTCTCTAAATAATCCTGCAAAATTGGTTAAACTGGCGAACGCTATCCACTGCCAAAAATGATGCATTGCAACGTGACTTGTCCGCAATTGCGGATGCCACAGAATACGCGGGAAAATGAAAATCTGAGTCACTCTGAGGCTTCTGTTAAAAAAGCGGTGCTAAATTTTTTTTTCTTGAAATTTTTTGTTGTCAGTAGGATTCACGTCAGTTTCAAAACAATCAGAAGTTATAGTAAGCTACCTAGTGATATTCCGAGTTAAGTGTATTGACAGGAGATCCTGGGATCATTTTGCTGTTTGGTACAACCTCTCTATTAGGACAGAAAACAAGATTTCGAGACAAAACTTGTGAAAATCCCCAAGTTGTTGACAGCCTTAGTCACTGTTTTCGTTGTATTGTTACTTTTTCTTGATGTCACTTCCTGATTTTCGTCTTTAAATATGCTTCGGTTTTGCCAGAGATTTGGAGACTCTACGATTTTAATTCAGTCGGACTTTTACCATGGAAGGCGATCGTGCTTCTCAAAAACTGGGAGTGCTGACTAGTTCCCGGTCGAATATCCCTCGTGCGATCACGAATAGAGGTGCTTCTATCGCTTTCAAATATCATTGCTTCTGTTCATTTTATACTAATTCATTTCGCATACGATGTTGATCACAGTGGTTCTCTTAATCGATTTGTTATCTCTAATCCGTTGTCCACGAAAGGGGTCAAATTTGCTTTTGCGTTTGACTATCACTCCAGAACTTCGAGTTTTCATGAATGCGTTCCGAGTTCGTTCTCCCTGGAATCCTGGGATAACTCTATGGGTTTCCACCACATACAATCACCGGATTTTGTGAACCGGAAGAAGCTTTTTCCAAAAAAGTCGTATCAATTTGCCGACTATTGCCTGAGGTGCCTGGTTGGCGCCCAGGAGGATTCAAACCGACCTCCCATGTTTACCTTTAATCAAACAGTATATCTCAGTTTTATCGAGGTAGCTCGTTGTAGGTCGCGCTCCTGTATCAGCCACTATCCAAGCTGCGCGAAGTCTAAAGCGCAGAAGTATTGGACAGCTGTCTTCAGGTGTACCAGCGAAAAGAACGGGCACGGCAATTCTGGACAGCAACCGCTATCCAGGTAGAAGTTTCTTTTTTCGAGTTAATGCAGAGAGCCTGGCTTTATTAGGCTGGTTTTTAGCACTGGATAATTCTCCATTGCTATTGTGTTGGAACAATCTTTTCACATGTTACTTGACGTTGTGTAACACGGCTCTTTCTTTGTTGTTTGTCATGAAAAGAAAAATTTTGTGTCAACAGAAGCCGTGAAAGCGTTGAAAAGTTTTTCAAAAAGCTTGGGTAATTTAACAATCATGAAGAGATTCTGAAAAAAATCTCAATTTACATTTAGAATTAAGGATTTGTACTTGTTAAGCTTAAAAAACGTTTCTGNTTGTCCTTGGCCTCATCATTAAAATCCCTTGAAAACGAAATTCATTGAAAATGTTGACCTCTTAGTGACGCAACCCCTCCCTGACTCAATGAGAGTGGGCAGAGTGACATTAGCCTGTAATCAACCACGGTATCTTCAAACGACAACTGCTGCAGTTCGCCGTACAACGTCAAACACTGCTCCATCGAATGTAGCGAATGTCCCCCAACAGAAAGCTATGGGCAAGTCACTATTACTTCTTTAAAATATGGTTTAGAATTTTGTCTCTGCTCACATTTATCAGTCTTGCAATCGAAACATTCTAATTACTTGTGGTTTAGCTCGTCGCTCTTCCTCAGTTAAGCGCGAAAGAATGGAAACGGTCGAGCATAAATCGAAAATCGTTGATCTCGAAAGTGAACTAGTGAAAGTAAAAGCCGAATTGGAAATAGCTCAGGTGTCGCTGTTTTCTATTTCTTTGAAATGACTGAATTTCTAATAAAGGACTCTTTTTCAGAACCATTTACTATTGAAGGATCAGAATTTAGCTGTGGTACAGGTTCGTAAAATTAGTAGCAAACAAGGTAAAAATAGCACTAGTCCTAATCGTTCCCAACATTTTGTTTCATTCCAGAAATTTGATGTGTTCTCGCTTTTTTTTAGAGTTCACTAGAGACTTTCAAACAGACGATCGCACTTAAGGATGGGCAAATGGTCGCGATTCAGGCCGCACTGGATGCCGAAAAGGGCAAATGTGCCGTTATGCAAGCGTCGCTTGATGCTGTGGGTATCGTTGACAGTTTTGCAAAATGATTTTATTAGCTTTATGGTGATATGAAATCTTATTTAACTTGTAGTTTCGTAACGAAGTTCTTGTGTTTTGGCTGTCAAGTTTCTAGTAGAATTAATTCAGCACAGTTTTTGATTTGTTGTAAAAAAAAANAAAAAAAAATTCAGCAAAAAAGTGAGAATGTTCGCCTGGAGAACGAACTCAGCGAACGACTGGAAAACATCGGTCATTTGGTATCAGAGCTTACAGCTAAGCGTGATGAACTTCGTAAGAAGGACGAAGAAATCAGAATACTGCATAATACCGTCGTGGATTTAAAGGTTTTTACTTCAATTATTAGCTACCTCCTACAAATAACAGAATTACCTTCAGGGTCAAATTCGGGTGGCCGTTCGTGTTCGACCACCTCTTGGTAAAGAGCTGGAGATGCCCATAAATCATCTCTCTTACCCATGTGTATCTTCTATAAAGCTTGATCAGGTACAACCTTTTTTTTTACTCGCACGGAACTTCAGTATACATCGTTACTTGCTATTATTTGTTGTCGTTACATCACGATTATTACTAATTATTGCTGCAATTATTTGGCATTTGTTATTATTTTCAATATTCGTCGTTTTCTGTCTCAGCATTCGCGAGGTTGTTAAACAGCATACGTTTACTTCCATGCAATAACACACATTCAACACAATCGTAGCTGACGTTTTGGCAGATTTCGCCTTCGTCAGAACCTGGAAGGGTATATTGATAGGCAAGTTACTAAGTCAAACGCTCCGATAACACATACAGAAAAATGTAAATCTAATTCACAATTACACGATCAACAGCTTCTCGAAAAAACCCATCGTTTATTACGTGCCTTCCACTGTGGAAAAACAACTGATCAGAGTCGCATATGGTTGATGGCTGCACCATCCAACATCAGAAATTGATGCAAACGTACGGGGTGAGGTCGCGTGTGACCTCTGCGCATTCCTCCCTGCTATTCATTGTGGAGTTTTTGTTATTTATCCAAAAAGCTCCAAGAAGTTTGCGCGTTGGTGTCTTAGTCTCCTGTGCGACGATATTGACTTTAACTTCAAAATGGTTTCCGCTATGCGTTTGTATCCTATGCGTGTCTAGTGGAGTACTTTGTCTTGTTTTCGTTTCCCATCTAGGTGTTCTTTTATACGGATACACAAGAGTCTGCTCGTTTCGTTAATATATTCGTCACCGCAACTATTTCAAGAGATCAGATATATCGTACCTGAACTCATGCAATCACCGTCCCTGCCGTAAGGGCAAATTACGCAATTTGGTGTTTCACATAGACGGTTATATAGGCGATTTAGAACTAACTGACGACGTAGAGGATCCGGTGGTATTACAACTATCGCTACCGATTCCGCTATACTTGCTCATTTTAGATATCGTTTTATAGCTATGCTTACTTTGTCGCTAATAAAGGGCAGTTCAAACGGGGCTTTCTTTTCGCCAAGTGTTTGGTTTTGGGGCGTCGCTATCCTTTTAAAAGATGGCATGCGAAAAGCAAGGCAAGGTACCACTCTAGGAACGCATAGGATACAAAAGCATTGCGTAGACGATTTTGATATAAAAATCACTCTCATCGCACAGGATGCCAAAACATCAGCGCGCAAGCTTCTTGAGGCTTTTCGATATATCAAAATCGTCTCCGCAATGCTTTTGTATCTTATGCGTTCCTAGAGTGGTACCTTGCATTGCTTTCCGCTTGCCATCTTTTAAAAGGAGAGCGACGCCCCAAAACCAAACACTTGGTGAAAAGAAAGTCCCGTTTATACTGCCCTTTATTCGATAAATACCAAAAACGCTACAATGAATAGCATGGAGGAATGCCTCGAGATCACTCGTGATCTCGCCCCATACCTTCGTATCGATCGCTGATGTGGAGAGGTGCAGTCGTCAATCATATGCGACACTGATCAGCGGCCCTTCCTCAGTCGAAGGCACGTAAAAAACGATGAGTTTTTCGAGAAGCTCTTGACCATGTGATTACCGCATATCACTATACCCTTCCAGGCTCTGAAGGAGGCGTTTCTGCCGAAACATCAACTACGATTGTGTCGAATGTGTGTTATTTCATGGAAGTAAACGTACGTTGTTTAACAACCTCGCAATTGAGACAGAAAACGACGAATTTCCAATATTGTTATTAGTGCGTTGTGGTTTCCGAAACCCGTGACAAACCCAACGCCTCTGAAATTTGTAACGGGAATTCTTCTCCACGAATGGCAAAGGTTCCATCATCTAATTGGCGTATGTCAGTTTTCCTGCTTTTCGTCTAGTGTAGAGCGCCCACGTGGAATTTGATACGATCCGCGGCTTCAACAGGAGCGTAAGGGTAGGCCTCCGAAGAGATTGTTCTGGTGTTATAGGTACACGTCAAGAGACAATACTCCATGGCTTGGTGTGGGCGTGCTCGTTTTGTACGTTTCCAATGACGTTCTATGCAACCCGAAATTTGATCGCCTCTCACTGATCATCTTACCGCCCAGTGTCGTAGGCGACGGCGTCCAATGTGCGGGGTGCAGAGACGGAAATTTTGCTGATTTAGCCATTGTGTTTCCTTGGAATCCCGAGGTCAGCCTAGCTAAAATCTGCTTCAGGTCGTCACCACCACAGGCAATCGTCGCCTTTTTGGGTCAGAGGGAGATCTACCATCATGCGACTAGTTTGATACCTTGACGGTAGCCGATCCTGGTATTAATTTACTCCTAGCTGGGCTTCCTGTTAGAAACGCCGAACTGCTTGTCAGTTTGGGAGGATCTGCTTGGGGATGAATCCCTCCGCTGTACATCGCAGCCCGACACCCAGGAACAACTCGCAACAACGATGAGGTGGCAGATTATTGGGAGGTTATTTATGATTACAATGTTATAGTACAATTTCTATTACAACGTTGCCGATGATATCGTTGGATAAAAAAAACTACCTGATGGAAAGGCGAATAATAGGGCCCCTATGGTGTGAAGATGAACACATTAGACTCGAAAAGTGTAATAGCGTGTTTGTTTCCAACCACGGACACCTGCTGTCTGGAGTTTTGCAGATATCTCAACGCCATATTGGTCAATTATCATTATTATTATTATTAGTCATTGTTACTGTTAGTATTGCTGATTATTGCTTTTGCCACTGTAACTTTATTTTATTGCTTGTGATGATTTTAGGGAAAAGGACCTCAAATTTTCGAATTTCAAAGGGTTTTTGGTCCAAATGTGAGTCAAGAACGCGTGTTCAACGATGTACAAGAATTAGTTATGGTATGTAGTCCTATCTATCAGTTTTAGGGACGGAACTTTGTAATGTACACATTTTCAGTCTTGTCTGCACGGGTACAATGTTTCTATTATAGCGTACGGACAGACAGGAAGTGGTAAGACGCATACGATGAGAGGAGGTATTTATTCATAAGCAGTTCCATTAACTGTGTGAACTTAGAGGTCTATGCTTTGTTCATTAGATTCGTCTCGAACAGATTTTATGGAGTCAGCGTTGTATGGAGTGTCCTATTACGACAGCCAATGGCTTTACACTATTTTTAGCCAAACCAATTACTCGACATGTAAATCTTGTCTATAATCTTTGACTTTTCTAGGTGGAAGTGAATCTGAAGGTCTTATTCCGCGAGCTGTAAAGTTCCTTTTCCAGTCGAAGGACAAGTTATCGGACCTAGATTGGACAGTGAGATATTTCACTCTGTTAAGGTTTCTTTCTGGATATGGTTGATGGAGAAATTTTGGGTTTTAGTTCGAGTTCAAGGCGTCTTTTGTGGAAGTATACAATGAAGAAGTATATGATTTGCTCGCTGAGAGAAATAAGCTTGAATTAAAGATGGGTGCAGGAATCACAACGGTCAACGGTTTGAAATACTATGACATAAATGACAAGGGCGATGTGAGTTTAGGAATCTGTGTACATATCCTGCTTAAACAGATGGTAGCTTTATAGTATTTGTTTTCACTGCAATTTGGTTTAGGTGGAGAACATTCTATTGATCGCTGACAGGACCCGATCAACGGCCGCTACAAAATGCAATGAACAATCGAGTAGAAGTCATGCAGTTTTCAAACTATCTATAGAAGGAAATAACAAGACTTCTCGTAAGTTTTTTTTTCATTCTACTTACTCCAATTAGTTGTACATGTTTAGTTGATCTTGTTTTACATCACTGGGAATCATAGTAGGAAGTATTTACTTGGATATGTAGTGCGGCTGTCATCGCGAATATTGCGAGCTCCAGAAGCTTCCTCATTCGTTTCTTAGCCTCGCCATCGTTGGTTGTGTTGTTGGTAAGCTTCGAGTACGGTAAATTGTGCACGTAATATGCTCGGGTCTGCAGAGCATTTATTACTGCTAATGCAGTTGATTGGTTTTAGCTAAAAACACGTGTAGATCGTGTAGATGGTTCCACCAGAAGTCTTTTGGGATGCAATGTGCAGTTCTAGTTGCCTACCTGTCTGTCTGTCTTCTATTCTTATCGTATGACTGATACAACTGTGCTTCGCTAAGGATTAGTAATCTTCTAGGTCGCGTAGATTATATGAGTTTCAAGATCCGAACTACGCACTATGGTTAAACTTTTGTGTGCTGGCAACATTTTACAAAACATTGTTCACGCGCTCTGTAGATGGTGCACAGTATTCTCGATGTGACTGATTTATCAGCCCACATAGGCTGCGTATTTAAATTCTGGGAGCATCGTTGGGTCAAAAAGGTGAGCGCGGTGTTTCGGATTTATTAGTTTATGGGTGGCTACTATGTAAGGCAACAAACACTTCCCATACTGCCTTCTTTGTGTTGTTTGTTCTCTGAACGCCAAAGGTATACCTGCAAGGTTGTCTCTGTAATCAATGAACTATTCACTTCGAGTTATTCGCCTTCATATCGTGGGTTTTTCATCAACCATGTGTTCCCCTTACGCGTTGTTCAGTCCTTTTCCCTGTTTTGTTAAATTCGTTGATTATCGTTTTTGCTTCGTTCGTACTTCTCGAAAAGATGACAATGTCTTCAGCTATGCGAAGATTTGAAGGAATTTTCCGCTGATGTTGTGCTGTTCTCATTCTCGGTCGAGCGATTTTATTATCCACTACAAAGTAAACTGCTTTGACGAAACAATTTCATGTTGCTGAACCTCTTTCCATATGGAAATAGCAATGGTTGTTGGAAGAGTTGCATTTTTGTACTGAAATTACGATTGTAGCCAGTTTAAGTTTTTATATAGAACTCATCCACTGTTTAATCGACGAACGCTTTTCGATGATGTCAAACCTTTTCATTTTAACCAAAAGTTTTGGCAAGAAGCGGTTGGTATTCTCAACAAACATCTTTCATCTATGACGCGGTAAGGATGTCGTCCATATAGCAGATTCAGTTGATGTGCTTCATTCAATACCTTTGATATGGGCAATATGATGATCCTCGTGAAGACGTGAAGATGTGAAGAGTGCGTAATCAACAAACAAATCTATCAGTAGTTGCGAAGCTCCTTTCGGTCACCGTTCTGGAGGAGGGCGACCTGGGTGATCTTTTCGAATGCTCTGGGAATCTTCTGACGACAAGATGAGGTGTCATATCGGTTGCCGAGAAGTACATGTAGTTTGTGGTTTGAAAGGAGGTTGGAGATGATGCGATCCGGTAATAGAGCTTTTCTTCATGCTTTCTGTTCTAACTCGAACTTTAGAAGGCAGAATATGGGGTGGCTTTTCTCCAGAGGAAATTTCAAGCCTTTCATATGAGACAGCATGGTAGGTAACAGATGGGTGCATAACAAAAATTGCGCCAGCGACATTTCGTGACTAAATTTTTCTTCTATTTTTGCCAAGGCTCCTATCATCCAAAAGACTTATGTCGCTTTTTTCACCTTTTCCTCCCATATGGCGACCAAATTGAATTTAATGCAACCTGCAGCTTTGAAAAGAGCGCGAAGATCGGCGTATGAGGGACTTCTGGTAGTGTAGATGCGCAGCAAAAACCGTTGCCACGACATGTAGTTGTTTCGATCCGGCTCCAGTGACGTCCAGCGCAATCCGAAATTTAATCACCTGACGTCATTGACGGACGCACCGGCTGTGTGCGATGCTGAAGGCGGTTTAATTTCGGTCAGGCCATTTAACCATTTCTTGAGTTAAGACATAGTCTAGTTATGATGTTTTCAGGTCTTCACCACAATTTGGTTCTGTGGGAAGCTTTGCATCGGTTTGTTAGATTAATAGTATTAGTTGATTCGGGCACGATATTTAGGCTGAATATAAACATGGAAGTGGACATAGTAAGTTGAGCGGCCTCTTTAGAGCGATGTAACAAGCCGATAGGACCTTGTATAAACGCATAGCATTAATGATTCGTGGTTACTTATTTCTACTGTACATTTGAGGTGCAACCCGCCACGCATCCCTTCACCTTGTCGACCTTGCTGGCTCAGAACGTGTCAAAGAGTCTGGTGCCGAGGGTGATCGCTTTAAGGAAATGACATTCATTAATTCTGCACTCTCGAATTTGCAAAACTGTATTCGGAGTCAGTTGAATAAGGTGATATCCTTTGCTTATTGCATTTCACTTATTTCTTGTGAGCAATCTCAGTCATTAATCTATGCAGGCTTTACGTAGTTTGTGTGAGTGTGGTATTGGATCTTTTTTTAAGAATTCTTGTTTCTAGGGAATTCTTCAGGAGGTTTCTTAGAGTGTTGTTTCATTTTTAGACTAACTCATTTCCAGTTTTTCTGGTCAAAAAGAAATTCAAATTTCTAAAATTTACTGCGCACGCTCGGCGGTCGTGTATCACCTATCACCTGTATGTCGTCTCGTTGATCGTCGAGTGACTAGCGGACGCCAGTAAATTTTCCATTTTTCCCTGTCGCGTGCAAAAGTAGCCCAGTGGGTTGTTTTGGCTTCACGGACTGCTTGAACATGATTTCTTTCTTCTAGAATTTTTAGTGAGGAGCCCTGACAATTGGGCGGTGGTCTTCCTGCAGTGCATTTGACATCTCAAGGAATCTAATCACTGGCGACACTTGTTGCACATTACGGGTCGGGCTCGCCTTATCGTTGACAGCTTTGCGTATAGAAAGGTGTCTTTGAGTTTTGATCGTTGACGCAGGTCGGAGCTTCGAATCCCCTCCCTTACTTGTGTGAAACGGGTTACTCTTAGCATCGTCCTTTCGCATCAGCGTTCAATAACGTTGAATGGCCTTTCGTCCTACATACGTAGCGGTCACGTTTTTGACGAATACGTTAAGACAGGAAAAAACGTATAGCCGAAAAGATGGGCACGGAATCTGGTTTTCCTGGTTCTCTTCACTACTTCCTCCATGGTCTTGAAAGCTGCCGAGGCCGCTCGCTTCCTACTCACATCTATAGCGAAGTCTTTCATCATGTGGATTTTTCCGACCTAGGTAGACGTAGCTGGAGTATTCCGAGATATTTATAGTCTGAGAGTGAACGGGGCATACGTAATCGATTCATTCCTTATCAACATCGTTTTTATGATGGGCACATGTAGGGTAGTGGTCGAAAGAGCCCTGCAGGACACATGGGTTTGATCCAAGCGCCCCAGACTCACCAAGCCCTTCATCCCTTCAGAATCCGTAAATTGGTACGAGACTTGTATGGGAAGATAGCAGCACCAGCTCGATACATTGGTAGTCCATCGCGAGTCATTGTAGAGGTCAGATATGTATTCAGTCGCGTCCAGCGATGCTTAGTAACGTCGAATGCATGGGTCATCCCTCAGGGATCGATCAACGTCGGCTCCACTGACTTCTGTACTATCGCATGTTTCGAGGAACAGTTCTTCTTCGGTGTCACATACAGCGCTGAATTTGTGGCGTCTTCTCGTCTCGGGTTGTCCGATGATATCGTACGTTATCGTTCTTGTCTGCATAACCAAGTGTTTTGTCGAGAACTTAGATGAATGTGCGTGTATTTTAGCTACAGATAGTCAACCACCTAATTCCTTTGTTACTTAAACAGCGTGCATCAGCTTGAGATTTTAGTATCCTGTCCATGCTCATCCAACACAACGCTGACGTGTCAGGGCTCTTTCGAGATCAGAGGAATGATGTCCGTTTATTTTACTGGGTTTAGTGTTTAGTACCTTCGTATAGACGACCGAGCTCTGAACATGAGGGATGGGTACACTCATGGGTATCTTGTCAGTCGTTCCCAGAGTGGACATGGAGCTCATTTGTTGGGGCGACTTCTACTCATCTCCCATATTCTACTTCCCTGGCACTTGATTACAGACTTTTGGCCGAATTGGTTCGTAGAACACAATCCACATTGACGAGAAGACACCCACGCACGCGTGCTGAAATACGTCCTGGCAAACCAAGGAAGTATGTGCTAAGTCGACACATTTGTCTTCGATTCTTTTTCTGTGGTTTTTATGTATTGGGTAAGTATAAATTTATTATAAGCCGAGAGTTCATGCTCTGTGTCGGCCTGCGTCTCAGGGAAGCAAAGTTCGCTTCTGGTCCACGATAAGCCCCTATCCGCCACCCAGGCACGCTCCACCTTCCCTCGTGACCAATTGGCATAAGATCCTTCTATGTGGGGGTTCCGTGGTCGTGAATAAAAGTACTAACATGAGCGAGAAGAACGAGCGAGATACCTTTTATGGACTCCAAGAATTTCTTAAAACTTCAAATCGATAGCTTTACAGGAAAGAGTAGAAAAAAAGTTATATTATTTCGAACAATTTTACACAGTTGAGTATAAAGAGCTGCGTTTCTTTGGCAGAAATTTGTAGATTCCTGTGGCTCTTATTTTAGATTGAGGCATGGTGAGGCAAATTTGCCGAAGACTTTCGTCGACTCTGAGTTGAAATCAACGCAGCTTGGTCACTCTCTGTTAAAACAGCTGAGTAAAATACATCGTATTATTGTTTCAGAATCAACATATACCCTACCGGAACTCGAAACTTACAATGCTTCTTCGGGATAGCTTGGGTGCTGGAAACTCAAAAACAATGGTTATTGTTGCGTTGAATCCGGCTCTGGCGCAAGTAGCAGAGACAAAACGTAGTTTGGAATTCGCTCAACAGGTTTGATATAGACTCGACTATTATTAGAACTGTACTGGCGTTTGTTATCTCTATCACTATACGGATATCTTTTTTTCCTGACTGTTTACAACCAATTGGAAATCGTGTTTCTTGAATAGTATTATGCAGGTAAGGGAAATGCTTTTCTAGATTATAATTATTTGTTGGAAATAAATAAAAATTGTCTTAAGACATGTATGCTTAAAAAGGAGATGGTTCTTACAGATGAGCTTAACAAAGATCGGATCCGCAAAGAAGCAAGAACAGTAAACTATACTATGGCTGTGTAGCGGTAATTTTGTCTGGCCATATCGATTTGCTATTCTCATATAACATGAGTTTCACTTTAAATCTGATTTATGAGATCACTTAGAACTGTTCAGTTTGAGCACTGCCGCCGCTCTACATGGGTACTATTTAAACAGGTTTTGGATTAGTTGAGGAGGAAATGCATGTCAAACACATCGCTTTGATTTCTTGCCTTATTTTTAAATTTTGAGTATATTTTCATTAACCGATGGTTGGTGGTGCTAGCTATGTTCATGACTAAATCAGAAGAGAAAAAACTTGAACTGTTCCAAATGTTACATCTATTTGTTCAAGTTAGTGTATTCCTACATCCTAAATGCAAAGCCTTACGTTCCATTTCGTAGTAAGCGCTCTTAATTTCGTACATAGCGTCAAAATCTATGAAAAATCGGCTATGAAATGCCTTTAATATATCAGGTACATAGGTACCTATAAATACATGCATATTCATAATGCATGGTTCGTCCTGTTGTGACCTCTCGTCTACCATGCCTTAGACTCCATTTAATAATCCATCGATTTGAGGCCACTACAACAAAGTTTATGGTGTCGTTCATAATGCAGTCACTGATGATAACGTCGATTAGGTTTGCAACCACTGCATATGTAAAGTAGACTACTATTGCGTTTCACTTTAAAGGAATTTAACCATTGTTAGTTTGATAAATCAAGAAAGTCCAGTGAAGGCAGAATAGGTAAATATGGAGGAGACTGGATGAAACGACACTAGCAATGTCATCATTTTGAAATTGAAGAGCTGCTACAAACAACTGTTTTGCGTCTAGAATGCTGTTAGTGATGTTCAACTTCGGTTACTGCTTCGCAACGATGCATTTTGAACGACGACATGATTCGAGCGTGCTCGGTCATTTGCGCAGCTTTCCAACCGAGTCACAGAACAGTAAATCTATCACCTGTGCTACCACAAGTATAAAGTGAGTGTGATCTCCCTACGAAAACCGCTAGGATTTTTAACGAAGAAAGTTCCGCTACGCTGCACTACTTCCAAAAGATCTCAGCACGGGCTCTGTTTGTCGATGAATTGTTTTTGGATCTCAGTTAGTAAGAGTGGAAAAGCACCGTGCTGCTCATAAACAACATTCGGTTTCTGCTGTGCAAATTTGCGCTCGAAAACACGCAGTCACGGCTGTTCAAGTGCGTTTCCAGTTTACTAGTCTTACTGGGAATCTTTTTTATGGGAATAGGTTTGACGAAGCAAACGAGCAAGCTAGATGAACACGTTGGAGCTCATCGACTCTAGAGTGAGCACCTTGATTCGTGACAAGTGTGTCAAGTTGTTGAGTGGTATGAAAATGCAAGAACTAAGTATTAACTAGCCGGAACAACATACCTAAGTTTTTTCTCTTCAATAAAAGACGAATTTGCATGCATGTTGTTTAAAATCGATTCGAACGGTACGAGATTTGGTACGAGTACACAATGGAACGCAAGGTTTTTGAACAGGATAGCACCCCTTAACACTGTGGGTTTGTGATCTTTGCGTAGTTCTGTCCTATTACCGGGTGTTCAGATAAATCCACCCATGTCTTGCGCCAATTTTCACAGTTGATGTAATGCCTGTGTATGAGTGTAAAATAAGAGTTTATTCTGAAACAAACTTTACGGAAATTTGTCCAATTCTGTATTGCTTTTGGTATCGAAGTTGCTGTAAAACGTGTTGGTAACGAACTACGATAAATTTGTATTCCAGGAGTTCTATTTTTTCTAATCTATGGGCCACGATCTCTTCAGCAATGCTGAAGAAGCTAGCTGTCAGCAAATAGTTCTGACACCTCCACTGATTATGAGGCATCTTGACGCTGGAGATTTAATTCCCACGACTAGCTTTCTATTAACCTCGGCATCGTTCAAATAGTTCTCGATATTCTTGTTGAGCAAAAACGAGGTGTTAATTTATTCTTTATTCCGTTAAAGTTGGCGTCTCGGCGGATTTCACCTTCTTCGGAGCCTGGAAGGGTATATTGATAGGCAATTTACTAAGCGAAACGCTCCGATAACACATACAGAGAGATGAAAATCTAAATCGCAATCACACGATCAACAGCTTCTCGAAAAAACCCATCATTTAATACGTGCCTTCCACTGAGGAAGAACAGCTGATGAGAGTCGCGTATGGTCGATAGATGCATCATCCACATCAAAGGTCGATGCGAAGGTACGGGGCCAGATTACGTGTGATCTCCGAGCATTCTTCCCTGAAGTTCATTCTAGGGTTCCTGGTATTTATCCAAAAAAACCTCTAGAAGTTTGCGCATTGGTGTTTTGGCATCCTGTGCGAAGATATTGACTTTAATATCAAAATCGTCTGCGCAACGTTTTTGTATCCCATGCGTCCCTAGTGGGGTACTTAGTTTTATTTTCGTTTACCATCAAGGTGTTCTTCTGTGCGGATACATAATGGTCTACCCGTTTCGCAAATATATTCATCTCCACAAATACCACAAGAGATCAGGTATACCGTACCTGAACTCATGCAGTTACCGCCAACACGTCAACTTCAACGGAATAAAGAATAAAGTAACACCTTGAGTTTGCCTCAACAAGAATATCGAGAACCATTTGATCAATGCCGAGGCTAATTGAAAGTCGGCCGTAGGAATTCACAGCCAAACTCGTGCTGACGAGAACGCCAACGAGACATTAGCCGAATATAACTATTTGCCAATCTTGCATTAGCTCAATGGTTTACAATGATACCCTTCAACAACTTTGCTTGTCATTTACTACATCGATGAACGGCTACCATTATCGGATCAATTTTGAGGAGCAGATCTTTTTGACAACAAAATTTCGTTGAAATGCTCCCAGTATTCATTTTCTTTCCGATCTTGCTCTCTGCTAAACACTGATCAGTGCAAATGCTTATGAGAAATAGACTTCCTGAAAGTTGACAGTTCATCTAAGCATAAATTGCTACAATATTTTCCACCACACGAGCAATGGGATCACTTTGCACCCAGATTGCCTGTCGATATGATCCTTTCCAAGCTCTGAAGAATACGAAATCTTCCTAGATATTAGCGATTGAGGAACAAATCCTGTGTTAAGTTGAAAACAAAAACATAAGCTTATTGATCGACTCCAACGCGAATACAAAGTCAGGGTTTAGGAAGGACTTGTAAGTGTGTCTCGTTGCATTGTTACCTGTTGCTTTAACCGCGATGTACCTAGTAAGTACATAATCAAATAACCAGACAGGAAGGGGTGGTTGCCATCATTTGCCGCGACAACCAATCAAGAAATAGTTTCTACTTTCTCACATTAAAAACGCCTAAAGATATTTATTTATTAAGTTCTTTGCGCAATCCATCTTTTCCATCCATTTTGCGGGTCCTAACACTTCCTCTATTCCACTCGTTTCCTCGCATCCTCCATCCACGAAGGTCTTCCAACTACTTCCGTTTGGGTTCAGTTTCTGTTTGAGGATCTTCGCTTTGTTATGAATATCGTTAATTACTGGTAGCGTTGATTCTCATTGGAATCGAGATGGCTGGACTAGAATATTCCCACTATGTATATGGATGGTGAGGTGTTCATAGGCAAGTATGATACCAATTTCCTGACACCGGTGGGATGAAACTTAGTGAGGCAGTGCGGCGTCGAACAAGCAGCGTGCTCGTTATGAATGCTATCAAGACTACTACGCAACTCCCTCCTAAACATATATATATAT